CTGTTCTTCCAAAATTAAAAGTTCAATAAAACCACGAAATGGTTCAGGTGGAAGTGGAGTCTGCTCCTGTGTAAGAAAGGACTGTAGATAGAAGGGGACAGACAGACATCATGAACTAGAGCACTAAGAAAATCCTCTCTACCCTCATTAAGTAAGTGCAAAAGAAAGCCTATATCCGCAGCCACAGTCTCCCAAGGACTTTTAGCATGTGACAAGAAATCAACTAACACAAAAATTTTTAACCATTGCTCTGCAAATGCTAAAATCTACAGTGAAGAGGGCATGGATGAGCCACTGAAATACTCTAGGCCCTCTCCCCAACCTGCAACTAAAGCAAGTCCACTTATGACTCATAAATGTGGCAAACATACATGAGATATGTGGTAGCTGGAGTAAGTGTGTACCCCCAGAAGCTCATGCTGAAATCTGACAGCCATCGTGGTGTTGAAAAGTAGGACCTTTAAAACTGAGAATTCCTTGTCTGTCTTTGGCCTGAGTAAAGTACTAGGAAATCTCTTGTTATGGAGATAATCGCTCCTTTCTATTGTGTCTCAGGTACATGTGCCCACCTCCTCTTTCACCTTCTTTATTTCTTAAGGCCCTTGGCAAATGAAGGCACCTGCTTGGACTTTCAGCTTCCAAAAGTGTGCAGAGAATAAACTTTCATGAATTATTCAGTCTGATATATTGCTAACATAGAAAATAAACGAAGAGAAAGGCTTTTAAAGACATGGTTCAGAGATAACAGTATGATGCCGATGCTCTTCCTGGTGCAACTTCATCAATGTTTTTGAAAAATCACAGAGACACTGCAAAATAATAAGTTATATATATTTTTGGTCTTTGTCTCTGGTTCCAGGCCAGAGCTCCTACGATCCCCATCACTTTCCAAGTGATCATGATAGAGCAATGGGAGCATCCTTCATTATCTTCTCCCTGGTATTACTGTTCCCAAAATAGCTTCAGAGCTAAGGAGGTGAAATGAGCATCTTTAGTTGTGCATAACAAGCTCCTTTCTGCTTGAGCTTATGTAATCCAGAAACCTTTTGGAAGTTCCTAAAGCCTGGGAGCTGGTTTCCAGGGATCCAACAATATAATCTAGGCTTGAAACTTTAAACCCACTCTGCCCTTCACCTCTGTAGAGGGGAAAGCAGGTGGTGAATTTCTGAATCACCCATAGACAATGATGTAATAAAGTTTTCTACCTAACAACACAAATCCTCTAGAAAATGGCTAAACTGTAGGGTTTGGGGAGTATCTGGGTAGCAATGTGCATCCAAATGCTAGAGGAAAGTATTCTATCTGGGTCAGTTTCTATTGCAAACTCTACACAGCCATGAGTCATCTGGGAAAGAGTCTAAATAGAGGGGTTGGCCTATGATCATGTCTGTGGGGAGTTGTCTTAATTGTTGATTGATGTGAAAGGGCCCAGCCTACTGGCTACAGTCTCATCCCTAGGCAGGCAGACCTAAGCTACCAGAGAGCAAGTAAGAGAGCAAGCAATTGGGTAGCATTCCTCTGTGGTTCTTGCCTCCAGCTTTGTGTTTGAGTTCCTGCCCTGACTTCCCTCAATGGTAGACTATAACCTGTAAGCTGAAGTAATGCCACTGCCAACTTGCTTTTGGTTGTGGTATTTATCCCCAGCAACAACAGCAGCTGCAAAAAAAAAGCAAAATAATAGAACATGCCCCCACTCCACAGAGACTAACCTTCTATGGTTGGGTCATGGATCTCTTCATCTGACTATTTATTTATAGTATTTTTAATCACCATCTGTAATAAATGGGTACACAAGGGACAGCATTCCCTGTGGTCTGTAAATTGTTCTAGCAAATCACCAAACATAGCAAAGAGATTGGAAACCGACCTGTTTCCAAGTCAGACAGAAGGTGTGAGTAGACTGGGAACATGTCCCTTTAGCTTGGTTTGTAAAGTGAAACGCAATCCTGAGGGACTCAACATTACTTGAGCACACCTATTTGTTATCCTTGATCACTGGAGAGCCTGAAACCATTCTACATACATCTGGTGTTAAGTGTCTTTTCAGAGTGACACTAAGAAGCAGCTCCCTGTTCCAATTCAGTTATACATTGTAGGTCATCTCCCCCAAATTGATGCTCTATCCATCAGTATGTGTCATCACCTTGATGCTTAATCTTATTTCTGAACCCATAGCACCTGTGACTTTCTATATAGACTCTATCCATGAGTCACCTTTATTACTGCATCCCCAGTTATTTTTTAAAGCCTCAGAGTAAGTCAAGCCTAATCATTGATGGGTGTGTGTGTGTATGTGTGTGTGTGTGTGTGTGTGTGTGTGTGCCTGTG